TTGCTTACACACAATGCAATGCATAGTTCATGCTGAATAGCACATTTTACCGTTTGCTAGTCTTAGCTAGCTGCTACTATACTTTGATATTAATAGACAGTTCAATTTCAGTACATACTGCTACTACTACTAGTGCGTGATATACTGTATAACCAGTTCTACATAACTCTAGATAGTTTGGCTAACATAACATAACAGTAACTGCCCACTGTACATATTGCTACTTGATACACTATTTAGCATGTACGCGCTGTGCCACACACATAACCCGGGAAGGATTGACTGGCCTACAAATGCGAATGTGCATCGCCGCTGCCCTAAAAATTTTGGCATGTCTGGAATATCCAATCATCATCAGGATATTGCCCTAAACATTATGCTAGCGCATACGCGTGTGATGACCATAGGGGCGGATGGCTAGAGCCCACCTGGTTCGGCACTGTGGGCACTATGCGTCACTGTGGTGGACTATGCTTCACGCGTTGGCGGGCGGGGGGGGGGCTAGCAGGACCGCATGTACGTCCCATGCCTGCATGCCTGCTGCCCCTCTCTCTCTCCTCTCTCTCTCTACTGTCTCTCTCTACCTGTCTCTATGTCCTCTCTCGCTCTCTCTCTTCTCTCCTCTCTCTCTCATCTCTCTCTCTCTCTCTCTCTCTCTCTCTGTCTCTCTGTCTCTCTGTCTCTCTGCTCTCTCTGTCTCTCTGTCTCTCTCTCTCTCTCTCTCTCTCTCTCTCTCTCTCTTCTCTCTCTCCTTTTCTCGCTCTCTCTCTCTCTCTCTCTCTCTCTCTCCTCTCTCTCTCTCTGCTCGCTCTCGGCTTAATTTCGCGGTTGAGTGAATTTCATGAATTATTCGGTACTTATTCGGTCATGAATTATTTCGCCCGTGTTTTATTTTCGCCGGGTCGGGCGACACAATTCACGAATTTCGCGAAAATTAAAACCTCCTGCGAAATATACAGCGCTATTACAGCAGCAGATGATTAAATAATTTCATACGGCTCTCTAAAGTTCACATGCTAATAAGTTATCTCAGTAAGTTAGCATCCAAAATTAAGCTTTAAAAAATCTTACAATGACGAAATTTCGTCCATGCTTGATTCTATCATTGTGTCGCCATTTTAATTTTTAACAATTATTTTGCACCAAGGATTCACGTTATTTTAAATTTAGTACTATATTCTAAAGATGCTTTTTAGTTGTAGTGATATAAGGTTTACGAACCAACATTTTTTAAGGTGATTATCTATGTCTTATCAATGGCGGACATATATTATTGCTAAATATCATTCAATTTCAGTTTTATACTGCCCCTAAATGATATTCTTGCGTTCGCAAAATTTATTAATTGTAACGTTGTTAAAACTAAGTTTTGCAATAAACCTATTATCTATCTATCTCTATCTCATCTCTCCAATAGACTTCCCCAGACCTGAGGAAACTCATTAACTTAATTTGGATCTAACTGAGATAACCTTTATTAGCATACAGCAGCAGACTAGGACACATACCGTTGCGGCTGACGTCAAGTTCAACGAGGTTGAGAAAATTTGAGATGTCCGGCGGCAGACGCTGTATCTCGTTGTCGCTCAGCCCCAGCTTCCGAAGCTGCATGGAGCCGGAAGATAGAAGAACGACTGCAACAGATGCCAAAGATGAAAACATCAGACAATGTTGCAACAGCTGCCCAAACAGACGCAAAGATGAAAACATCAACAAGTGAACGGCTGCAAACAGACGCAAAGATGAAAACATCAACAAGTGAACGGCTGCAAACAGACGCAAAGATGAAAACATCAAACAGCCCCCACAATCCCGTGAACGGCTACAAACACAGGAAGATGATAAAATCAACAAGTGAACGGCTACAAACACAGGAAGATGAAAACATCAACAAGTGAACAACTGCAAACACAAAAATTATGAAATCAACAAGCGAACGGCTGCAAACAGATGCAAAGATGAAAACATCAACAAGCGAACGGCTGCAAACACACGAAGATGAAACAATCAACAAGCAAACGGCTGCAAACAGACGAAGTTGAAAACATCAACAAGCGAACGGCAGCAAACAGACGAAAGTGAAAATCACTCGCCACATTACACATATTTTAACCGCGGTTGAATTATTTTTACCGCGCTTAAATTATGTGTAACAAGCCGTTTTCTTTGATTGCGCGTAACAAAGCGCGCCATCAATCTAGGGGCGAAAAAAAATAATTATCTCCAAGTACGATGCGCCAATTACATAATCCGCTTCGATTTCTGCTCCATTAGCTGAATGTAAAACAGCTGCATTCAATGATTTCACGCGACATTGCTGTAACTGTAACTTGGTAGGATTACAGTAGAGCGCACCACACACAATGCATCAGCCTCATACGACTGGCACCTCCCTCCCCCCCCCGCCACCTCTCCCCCTCCTCCGCCTCCTGCTTCGCTGAACATCACACGCCCAAGTGACTGCTGACTATTCAGCCGGCGGAAGAACGACAGCAAACAAACGAGGTACGCCCACAAGTTCACACTTAACACCCCTACAGTCAGTCAGCCCACAAGTTTCACACTAAAACCCCTACAGTCAGTCAGCCCACAAGTTTCACACTAAAACCCCTACAGTCAGTACAGGCCACAAGTTCACACTAAAACCCCTCAGTCTGCTCAGCCACACAAGTTTCACACTAAAAACCCTACAGTCTGTCAGCCCACAAGTTCACACTAAAACCCCTACAGTCTGTCAGCCCCACAAGTTTCACACTCTAAAACCCCTACTGTACAGCTGTCAGCCCACAAGTATTCACACTAAAAACCCTACAGTCAGTCAGCCCACAAGTTTCACACTTTAAAACCCCTACAGTCTCGTCAGCCCACAAGTTCACACTACAAGAGCCGCCAGAGCGTCTGAGGCTCATCCTGAGGTCTGCTTGTACGATTATAAACGTAAAATTTCAGTCTGCGTAGTACCACATTTTAGTTAGGCGCAGATATGCAGACACGCAGTTGGCGTAACATCATTGTTTGGACACGCAACTATCGCCCAGATCGAGTGGGATGGGTGGGAGGCTGGGAGGGTGGACGGAGCGGCGGGGGGAGGGGCGTAGGTGGCGAGGGTGGAAGGGGCAGGGGAGGGTGGAGAGGGTCTGCGTGGGGAGGGCGGCTCTAATAGCAAAAGCAGTTCACTCCTTTGTTAACAGTTCAACATCCATGTTTACCCTCTTCTGAGGGTCAAAAGGCTTATCCGCACACTTACTCTTCGCATGTCCAGCAGAGGGACATTTCAATGGTCCTTTCAATAAAGCCATAAAAATGCCAGTGGTCACCGCTGCAAACAAAAAAAGTTTTTCAATCGCTTCCGTCAGACCATGTCCTCAGGAAATGTCTAAATCTGCCCTGTGCCCATTTGACCTTTGACCTGTGACCTCCAATTCGCCACAGTGATGGTCTTGTCTCCTACCATGATGCTACTACACCGACTATCACGAGCCCTAGGCTCATATCCGCTTTAGATTTCGTGCCGCAATTCTGCATTTCCTCCCTATACCTTAAGTTACAGAGAACTGAATGATTCCCCCTCTATTTTACACCTCTTGACCTTTGACCTTTGGCACCCCATGCTTCGAGCATCAACGAAGTTTCCCACCGTTTTGACGAATCCACCCCCACGACCGAATATCTGACCAACGTCGAGCGCGTTAAGATTTGTGCCCAACTGTTGACGGACGGCGGACGGACGGCACGGACGGACGTTCAAGCGATTCTACAAGCTGCATCTGACTTATGCTCAGATGCGCTAAAAAACCCCTACGTCAGTCAAGCCCACAAGGCTTTCACACTAAAACCCCTACAGTATCAGTCAGCCACAAGCTTTCACACTAAATACCCCTACAGTCAGTCAGCCACAAAGTTTCACACTAAAACCCCTACAGTCTGTTCAGCCCACAAGTTGCACACTAAACCCCTACAGTCAGTCAGCCCAACACATGCCTTTCACACTAAAACCCCTACGTCAGTCAGCCCATTAAGTTTCACACTAAACCCTACAGTCAGTCAGCCCACAAGTTTCACACTAAAACCCCTACAGTCCAAGTCCAGCCCACAAGTTTTCACACTAAAACCCCCCATACCAGTCAGTCAGGCCCACAGAGTTTTCACACTGAAAACCCCCCTACAGTCAGTCAGCCCACAAGTTTCACACCTAAAACCCCTCAGTCTGTCAGCCCACAGTTTCACACTAAACCCTACAGTCAGTCAGCCCACAAGTTTCACACTAAAACCCCTACAGTCAGTCAACCCACAAGTTTCACACTAAAACCCCTACAGTCAGTCAGCCCACAAGTTTCACACTAAAACCCCCTACGAGTCAGTCATGCCCACAAGTTTCACACTAAAATCCCTCTTACAGTTCCAGTTCAGCCCAGCAGTTTCACACTACAAACCTACAGTCAGTCAGCCCACAAGTTTCACACTAAACCCCTACAGTCGCAGTCAGCCCCACAACGGTTTCACAATTAAAACCCTACAGTCAGTCAGCCACACAAGTTCACACTAAAAACCCCTACAGTCAGTCAGCCCACAACGTTCACACCTAAAACCCCTACAGTCAGTCAGCCCACAAGTTTCAACTAAAAACCCCTACATTGTCAGTCAACCCACAAGTTTCACACTAAAAACCCCTACAGTCGCCCACAAGTTTCCACACAAAACCCTTATCTACTTTATCACAGTCAGTTCAGCCATAATGTTTCACACTAAAAAACCCTACAGTCTCGCCCACAAAGTTTCACACTAAAACCGCCTACCAGTCAGTCAGCCCACAAGTTTGCACACTAAAACCCTACAGTTCAGCCCAACAAGTTTCACACTAAAAACCCCTACAGTCAGTCAGCCCACAAGTTTCACACTAAAACCCCTACAGTCAGTCCACAAGTTTCACACTAAAACCCCTACAGTCAGTCCCACAAGTTTCACACTAATAAACCCCTCCAGTCGCGTGACTCCGCCGCGCAACCGCTACGCTTCAGCTGCATCCGATCACGCCTGGAAAGCACCGCGCGTGGCGACGGAACGTGACGCGAAATGACGAATCGAAATCCGACGAATTTCCGAAGTCTCGACGCAGCTGCGTCGCCGGCTCGCCGCCGCCCACGAATAACGTTCCGATGCCGCTGACTTCACGCCCGGTGACTTTTATTACGTCTATATTGCCAGCGCTATCGCCGACGTTATAACACTTTATTGTCAGCTATGCCGTTACGTCTGCTTGCTACTGCGGTACACGTGATCTTTTTCCGTTTCCCGCCAATTTCACATTATGCAAAAATAAAAAGCAAGTTATAAAAAAAAAAACGAAGTAACCCCAGCAGCATGCCGTAATCAGAAATGACGGCCCACACCCCATGTTAGCCCGCGACACCTCAACGCCCGCCCTAATTCGCCTTAATAGAGGATGAAATGTCAAAACAACTGCCTCACGTCACCCATCCACCACAAAACATTCCACCCGTCCCCCACTCACGGAGCACATTGCACCCAATCCGCCACAAACATTCCACCCTCCCCCACCATCCCACCGCGCCCACCTCACAGCACCCATCACCACAAACATGTCACCCTCCCCCCATCCTCCCACCCACCCACCTCACTGCACCCATCCGCCACGAACATTCCACCTCCCCTACTCCCACCCACCCACCTCACTGCACCCATCCACCACGAACATTCCACCCTCCCCCCCCCTCCCACCCACCCACCCACCTCACTGCACCCATCCACCACGAACATTACACCCTCCCCCCCCACCCACCTCACTGCCACCCATCCACCACAAACATTCCACCCTCCCACCTCACTGCACCATCCACCACGGACATTCCACCCTCCCCCTACCACCCACCCACCGCACTGCACCCATCCACACGAACATTCCATCCCCCCTTCCACCACCCCACTCACTGCCACCCATCCACACGAACATTCCATCCCCCCCTCCACTCCCACTCACCTGCCACCATCCACACGAACATTCCATCCCCCTCCACCCACCACCTCACTGCCACCCATCCACCACAAACATTCCACCCTCCCACCCCTCCCACCACCCACCTCACTGCCCCATCCACACAAACATTCCACCCTCCTCCCCTCCCCCACCCACCCACCTCACTGCCATCCACCCACCCCCCACCTCAGTGACTCGTCAGATCGTATTCGCCCGGAAGAAAGGGCTGCGAGAACCGGACGTTAAATTTTTTACCGTTAAAGCCGGGATCGATTATCGCGTCATTGCCTCGCGTATTTGAAACGCTGCGTGTTCACCCGTACACGCTGTACATGATGATTCTAACCGCGACACAGATTTTACGCCCTTTACTGACAACAGAGCGCGAAATTAGCGCTATTTTGCCGACTGCCGCCGGTTCAACCGCCCATATAATCAGTCCACTTGGCATATATTCAAAATTTTGCCTATCTTGCCTTTATATTAACAATATAGCTATATATATATATATATATATACCAATTTGCTGACTAGTTTTTACTTAGCGACTGCTAAGAAATAAATTATGCTCCAGCAATTCCTGTCAAACAAGTAGAACTCCACTGATAGCAATGAAATACTGAATGAGTATGCCTATTA